TGATATGATCCCCAGAGGTCCCTCCCAACCCCACCACGCTGGGATCCTGTGCCACCCTGTGATCAAATCCCAGCTCAGCGTGGTGTCTGTGCCCTCTCCACCCCCTCACTCCTCACCTGGAACATCTCGTTGATCCCCTCTCCAGTCTGGGCCGAGGTCTCGAAGTAGAGGAACCCGCGGCTCTCCGCCCACAGCCGCCCCTCGCTCTCGTCCACGCTGCGCAGCTTGGTGCTGTCGATCTGGGGGCAGAGCCCAGAGGGCACCTGTGCCCTGCTGCAGCCCCTGGGGCACACAGCCCCAAGGCCGAGGGGCCCCAGCAAGGAAGGGGCCTGCCTGGGTGGAGAGCATGGCCAGGAAGCCAGCGATGTCCCTCACCCCACAGCTCCACAGCTTGGGAACCCCTCCAGGGGTGGGGACTCCACCACTGCCCTGGGCAGCCTGGCACAGCCCTGGGCAACCCTCCAGGGCAAGAAATTGTTCCTCAGGGACAACTGAAACCTCCCCTGGGGCAACTTGAGGCCCTTTCCTCTTGTCCTGTTGTCCCTTGGGAGCAGAGCCCGACCCCCCCCTGGCTCCAGGCTCCTGTCAGGAGCTGTGCAGAGCCAGAAGGTCTCCCCTGAGCCTCCTTTGCTCCAGGCTCAGCACCCCCAGCTCCCTCAGCTGCTCCTCCCCACACTTGGGCTCTAGACCCTTCCCCAGCAGCCTCGTTGCCCTTCCCTGGCCACACTCCACCACTCCTTTCCCTTCCCAACACCTTGGACTCAGGCTGGGAACACAAGGAGCCCTGAGGTCTGGAGATCAGGACCCCCCCAGGTCCTCACCTTGTTGGCACAGACCACGAAGACCACGTTGTCCATGTTGCCATGGGGGCCCAGCTCCTGCTTCATCTCAGCCAGCCAGGCCTCCAGGGCCTCAAAGGATTCCTTCTGCCCCACGTCGTAGACCAGGAGGACCCCCTGGGTGTCCTTGTAGAACTCATTCCTCACCTGTGGGGACAAAGGCAGCAGCACTGAGCTCAGCCAGAGCCAGGCTGGGAGCACAGGGTCTGGCAGCTCTGGGGGTCACCACTCCCTGAGGATCACAGAATGATCTAGCTTAGAAAAACACCTTTAAGATCATCCAGTCCAACCTGGTTATCTGTTTGATTCTGGGATAAAAAAACTCATCTCCACACAAAGAGATCCACAGCAGAAGGTCAGATGGGGGAACCCACCCCCATTTCTCCAGGGGAGTGATGGATTCCTCAACACTGGAGAACTTGAACTGGGCCAATGTCCAGCCCATGGTTTTGCTAATTATTTGTATAGCAAATAACTCTGGAATGGACTATTTCACTTGGAAGGGACAGACCACAGTCATATAGTGCCACAGCAAGTGTCTCACAGCACTGTGGTCGTGGAGGAGGACACCAACATGCTGCAAACTCCCAAGGAAAGCTCCAGAGAGCTCCCAGTTGAGTCAGCAGACCCTCAGGATGAGCAGATTGATAAGCACAAGGAGCCACTTGGAAACAGGGCAACGTGTGTGTTACCTTCTAACAGCCAAACTTTCCAGCTGTGGTTTACAATCAGGTCTTTGGGGGGTTCTTTCAAACAGGATCCCAGCGTGGTGGGGTTGGGAGTGACCTCTGGGGATCATCTCATCCCACCCCTGCTCCAGCAGCTCACCCCCAGCAGGGTGCCCAGGGGCACAGCCAGGAGGGTTTGGGATCTCTCCAGAGCAGGAGACTCCACAGCCTCTCTGGGCAGCCTGGGCCAGGCTCTGCCACCCTCCCAGCAGAGAAGTTTCTCCTCCTGCTCAGGTGGCACCTCCTGGGTTCCAGTTGGTGCCCGTTGCCCCTTGTCCTGTCCCTGGCACCACTGAGCAGAGTCTGGCCCCAGCCTCTTGCCCCCCGGGGCCCTTTAGCTCTTGCTCAGCACTGCTCAGATCCCCTCTGAGGCTTCTCTGCTCCAGCTCAGCACCCCCAGGGCTCTCAGACTCTGTGGTCATTTGGTCCCTTCCTTCTTTGCATCTCTCTCACTGCCCAGGATCCAGCACAGATGGTCAGGTGGATCCATGAGGCAGTGGAAGCTCCTCAGAAATGTATATTCAAGTTTTCCACCCCAAACCTCAATTTTGGGCAGAGCTGCTGGGTGCTGAAGGCTTCTGAGATGGGCTGCCCAGAGCCAGGTCTGCCTTACCTCATAGAATAAAGGGTGTCCTGCCATGTCAAAGATGTTCACCTTGATCTCTCTGTCTCTGATCTGCACTCTGAAAGAGAAGGGAGAAGTGCTGGAGAAGGCTCCTGCTCAGCCCCTGCCCTGGCTCTGTCCCTGCAGGGACAACCCTTCTCTCTGCCAGCCCCCTGCAGAGATAAAGCTGGATGACCTGGGACAGAAAAATCCAGTATCAGGTTCAGGGTGCTGGGGTGTCATGGCCAGAAGATGCCTCTTCTCCCAAGGAACCAGGGAGAGGGTGAGGGGCAATGGGCTGAAGAAAATTTTGTTTGTATCTGAGGCAGAATTTCTCTCCTGTCAGAGTGGTGAGGCCTTGGCCCAGGCTGCCCAGGGAGGGGATGGAGTCCCCAGCCCTGGAGGGGTCCAAAAAAACATGTGGACGTGGCCCTTGGGGATGTGGTTCAGTGGTCATGGGGGTGTTGGGTTGGACTGGATGATCTTGGGGGGTCTTTTCCAGCCAATGATCCTACAAAAACTGCCCATAGAGCTGGAGAGATGAGGAGGACAGCTGCAGTTCTGGATGTAACGTGGCCATGGGCAGCTCTGCTGGCAGAGGAAAGTGGATTTTCACAGAAACACAGAATCATGATGGTTGGAAAAAACCTTTAAGATCAAATCCAACCCTTCCCCCAGCCCTGCCAGGTCCCCACTGCCCCGTGTCCCTCACCCCACATCTCCACGGCTTGGGATCCCCTCCAGGGGTGGGGACTCCACCACTAATTATGCAGCTTATTATTAAACCAGAAACACAGCTAAACACAAACTAAGCAGCCCCGGCAGAGCCAAGGGGTGGGACGGCCCCTGATGCCCAGGGAAACCAGGAACTCCCCCCGCAGGCAGCTCCGGCAGCCCCCGAGGAGCT